CATTAGTGAACACAGACTTTGCCCTCCTAAGCTCTGGCTACTACAGTCACAGTACTCTGATTCTCTCTCTCTGTAGTTATACACATATTCCTTTGATGTTTCTTGCTCATTGTTTTGTCACTGGTTTATCATGGGCTCTAGCATCTCACTTAGGCTGTCTGCAAACTGGTAGTAAATACACCCTGGGCAGCCAGTGAGGAACTCATGCTCCCATGTCAGGAGAACATCTACACTGGTCTGAGAGCTGCTCTACAGTCCTGAATGCAGCTAAGCAGGGGCATGGTCAGCAAATTTTGTGGCAGGGGCAGGATATGCTGGTGAGGGAGACTGTGATCTGTGGCACGTCTGAAATGATGGAGCTGTAATTCCAGTAATCCAGAGGGTACTGGTACACAAACTATTTGAACTGTAATGTTCTCCTTTATTTTATCACCCGAACTCCTAAATTGAATTATAGCCTCATAGCTTGTTGTTCCCTACTGTTTGTTCTTTATGCAAACTGTTTATGTGTCATCATGAGCTAGAGCTATTTTTGGCATAGCATTAATCTTTTTGTAATGTGACCTTGCCTTGGTAATACTTCCTCTTTGAGAGTTTATGAGGGACCTGTTGGCTTTGTGCTCCAAAGTGCTGACTCCAGCTCTCTGAACATGCTGTCTGCTTGTCTGAGTGTAAGGGTTGTAAGGGTTATGCCTGGATTTTGGGTGACCTGCAGGGCTTCAGTGATACTGTTTATGGTAGAGAGAGGGAAAATCTTCAGGCACTGTAATTGGTCTGACAGCCACTTCCACGGTGTCTGTGGTATCACAAAGGAAAGTGCTGCCAAAACAGCAATGCCATGAGAGATATTGATGACGAAGTTGAGATGAATGGGGCTTTGAATATGAACAGTCTGATGACTAAGGAGAGGCTGGGATGCATTTGTCATGACTTTGCTGAACAGTGGTGGAGTGGGAGATGCTCTTTTGGAAATAACAACAATAAAGCAATATTAATATTTCAGTGAGATAAGTCATCTTTCTCAGACTTTACAGCACAGCATGCCGATATAGACTGTTTTTCAGTTTGCTGATGCTTTTTGTGTTAACATCTAATTTCCCACTTTGTGCTTTGTCATTCCCAATTCAAGCTTGTAATTACTCCTTGTGCACTTGGAGAAAGTCTGCCTCACTTAATGAAAGTTGTTCCAATTTAGATAACAGGATTCTCTGCTGGAATTGACATAATGTATTTTAATACATGTTAATGAATACTTTTAATCGTGTTAATTATGAATGTGTAGTCATAAAGCACTTTGATATTATACTATCAGATAGCAGAAGAAATACCAAGATGGGTAGAATCATCAAATTTCTGTAGTGGTCCTAGATTATAAGTAAGGCCGGTTTCGAAAGGGAACATTCTGCCTTTTCTTAAACTGCTCGGTTGTAGCTGGAAAGAGGCCATGAGTTAAAGATCCTCCACGGGCCCTGCAAAAATCCATGTCTTAAAAATTATGCAAGTTGCCTGCAAGGCAGATATATAAATACTGTTAGTTGACTTAGGCTGTGGATAGAACACTGCAGACTAAAAAGGGAAATAAATGCTTCCAATCCTCCAGCGAGCTTGCAGTTCTCCCTGGGGCTGAAATGTGCTCAATGGTATTTGTGAACTGAAACACCTAAAATACAGATGGATTAGGACTGGAATCTGCCATTTTAAAACTTTCCTCTGTATTTTAAAAAAGGTGAAAAAAGTCATACTGCAAGGTCTAAACAGGTCTCAGATTCTATGAAACACTCTATTAGTTACATTATTATTAAAATATTGACATTTTTATGCCCGTGTTCCTCAAAGAAGAAAGTTTCTAGCTTTTATCTATATGTTGGTAAATACAGTTTAAAAATCTAATTCTTAAAAAGCTCGGTGGGCATTATGTCTGTGTGTGTGTGTGCTTCCAAGATCTGAATGATTTCCGTACAGAGAGATTAAGTCCTAAGCACTAGTCCAGCACAGTTTAAGGAAGAAAAACTTAAGAAACTTTCCAAAATCTTACTTTGCGATCCCACCATCTTGTGGCAGTCTGTGGTATTGCCTTAGGAAATTAAAAAAAAATAAAAAAATTAGTTAAAAATACTGTCCATGTATCCAATCTACTGATTGTGACCTGGGTTTTTAACCCCAGTTTAGGAAACACCTTTCTGTATACTGGTAATACAGCATGTGCTTCAGGAGGTTAGTTTGAGAGCACAAGGCTTCCTACTGTTTCCTTGCTCCTGTCTCAGGTAGAACCACAATCTTTAGCGCTTAACTAACCCTTTCCAGCAATAGTTTATCAGTATTTCACATTGAAAGAAGAAAATTTACAAATTGCATTAATTTTGGGGGCTTCTGTTCCCTTCTTCAGCCTTTTTATTCTCCATCTGCTGTGCCCTCGAGGAGCAGGTATCCCCTTTACAACAAGGATTGATGTAAGATTATTCTTACTACATGAAGCATGATCCTGGCAGCTCAAAGAAGGGAAGAGGATACTGCTTAATGCCCTTACTGGGAGATCTGTGCTAACTTTTAATTGTTCTTCAATAATTTCCATCACTTAACCCTGTTTGAATCTTGTTTTTCAGAAAAGGCCTTTCCAGTTTTATGCAAATAGTCTCTGGAAAGATGTGGTTCAGTTCTTCAGCAATTTTCCTGGTTTAAATAAAAAAAATAGTGATAATAAATTCTTCAGAAAGTCAGTGCCAAGCAGTCAGAGTTAAATTCTCTGCAGATGGATGGCCTGTGCTCACTCTCACTTCAGGGCTTGTACTAAAGCTGACAGTTCACATCTGCTCTTTGTGGTGCTTTCTTTGACCAGAGAAAAGTCTTCCTCTCTGCATTTGCTTTTTTCCTTTCCAGATGCACTGACAACTTAGTAAACTGAAGATCTCTCTGTAAAATTGGTTCCTGGATAAAGCTGAATAGTGGCAACTGCCTGAGCATGCATGCCATGGTTGTGTTCTAAAAAGTGGCAGCAAGACATGCAGGCAAACCTGAGAGATTATTGGGGTCTGGGCATTAAACCCTTGGGTTATGCAGTCTGTTAAGAGTTTTGTTAGCCAGGATGTCAAGAAGAGCTTCGTTTCGCACAGTTTGCATCTGTATCAGGAATAGGTAGTATGGAAAGGTTGGAGACCAAATCTGAGCTAGCATGTGAGATCTCATAAAAGAATGTAGTTATACCCATATCATATACAGTACCGTTCCCTACACTTGTTATATACTCATCCGTGGAACAGGGTGGGGTAAACACTGTTCTGAATTGAAGCCACTCTACAATAGAGGGTTGCAATCAAGAAATTAAGAGTCTTTCTTAAACTTTCTTTAAAAATATGGAATTGCATTAGTGCTTGGCAGAGTTTCTCCAGAAAACACTTACTTGGAATTTGGGCTAGAAATTATTCATGATTGAAATAGAAATGTTTTCTGAGAGTTTATTTTGAGGAGGTTGGTGGTGGGTGACACTGAAGTTTATACAGTGCTTTATCATCTGTCTTCTTCTGTTTTGACATACCATACCACATTATTCTAAGGTTGTTCCCATCATTCTTGTTAAGATTTAACTTAGTAAAAGCCGTTACTGTTTTAACAGATCATTCCAAAATAATGATTAACATACCTCTAGCAAAGTTTAAGTGCATCAAATACCAGTGGTTCTTTTGAGGCACTGTGAGTTTAAAAAATATTCCAAGTGTAAAGTCTCTAAAGGAAAAGAAAATACCTAGTAATACACATTGTAGAAATGTCTATGCATTTTCTGTTACTGAAATGAGCATAATTTAGTGTCTGCGTTTTTGATTTTTCAGAAATCAGAGGGAAATATATCAGCTTGCAGTACAGCTCTTTATCTGAACCAGGGAAAGCATGTGGAACATTCCAGTGAGGATTTGAATAAATGCCTGAGTGGCTAAACCCAGAGATGATGTTAGATGTAGTGCAAGAGAGATTTCTTCATGCTAAGTCATAGCTTTTATCTAATTTCTACTTACTTTTCAACGATGTGCTCCTAAGTTACCAGAACGTAACTTTACACCAGAGAAACATTTAAGCAAGTATGATTGCATACTTTGAACTTGAGATTTTGGTTCTTCTCTCCATCTTCTTACTTTTCAGTATGATAAACAGCTGAGGCTCCTGCTCTCTGTATCCCAAAAAAACACTTAAGTTTCTGCAAATGTAGTTACGGGAAAGGACATCCCATATCAGGTTATATGATACAGGACTGTCAGCCCTATAACGTTACCTGCTAGCATTCAGACATTTTCTGTTTGGTGTCTTAGCTTACTCAGTACAGGATAGAGGTAAAACTCATTTACAAGGGATTTATGGTTCTGTGTGTAGAGCATATCCAGGTTTTCAGTGTAAGAGTACAGCTAAAAGGCAGAGTAGGTATTCTGTGGGAGCCCACAAGAAAAAGAGGAATGCCAGGGAAAGAGTTGTAAATTCAGATGGTTAAGTTTCAATAAACACCTGTGGTATTTATGGTTTCCTTTAAAACCTGCTTCCTTAATACTGAAACCAGACGAGATGGTGATACAAGTGAAATTGAGACATGCTGGGCATGTTTTGGGAGCTTGGGCCATCTCTGGTAGGAGAATAATCCCCACTGTGTGAATATAATGCCTGGTTTCTGGCTCAGGTGGATATGAAAAGCATTGTTTGACATATTTTGCATGTCTGATGTGAGGTGTTTGTCAGCAAGAGCCAGGATCTTCTCAATACCTGTACCTGCAAACAGGGCCTTACATATAGTTATAAAAATAAATCACCGGAGTTGACAGAAATTTTCCTGTGGGTATCCTAAGTTCTTTATAGGACCAAAAAACCCAACAGAAAGCAGATTACAGATAGGATCTGTAAATGTATATACTGCTGATGGCTAAAATCTGGGGTGGCAATGGAAAAGGGGCAGTTTTTAGCCTGTCAATCTCACAGTATTATCCTGATTACCAGTAATGTCTTCTTGTATTACAACCCAACAGCAATACAGATGTGCACACAGTTGCTTCTCTCCTTAAGCTGTACCTAAGGGAACTCCCAGAACCAGTTGTACCATATGCAAAATACGAAGATTTCCTTTCCTGTGCCAAAATGCTCAGCAAGGAGGAAGAAACGGTGAGTTGGTAACTTGAGTAAGATGAAATAAAGGTTGACCTGAAATAAAAGGTTGTTCCAGTTTTGAGGGGAGAAACTGGTCATTTAAATGTGTCCTAATTTAACAAAATTATTGAACTGAGGCAGTTTTTGTATGAAAATTGTTGCCACCTGGGCCCTTTGGAAGTCTAAAGGTGCATAGCATAACCACAGCTTTTTTTTATTGCATGTCACTGAATTCAGTTCAAGTAAACATCATTGTAGTCAACACCTTCCATTTTGCACGAAAGAGACTTCTATATTCATGGGTTAGATTCTGAACTGTAAAAGGAAGAGTCTTGATGATTGCTGTTCCACTCTTGCCATTAAATCAAGAGTAATTTTTTTTCTGAGTGCTGGGATGCCAGCTTTTACTGACTCTTGATTGAAGGCCAATAGGCTCTACTCCTTGCCTGTCATTGAATCACAGAGCTTCAGAAAGATGGAACTGGCCATCTTCCAGACTTTCTTGAGGGAACAGCATAGCAGAGATGAGCAAAATAAGGGTTCTGACTGGTAATATGTGCCCTGCAGTGGCATGCACCTACTACGTGTTATTGTGGTGGGCACTACTTATGTCTGAAGACATAGGAATTTAAGTGCTTGTTTTCTGTGTGCTTATGGGTAATTAAGTCAACCCTGATTTTTTTTTTCACAGGACATCCAAATAGGTTTATCGTGTTGATGTCAACCTACTCCCTTAATTTTCCAAGATGGTTATTTCTGTTTAATTCTTTTTTGACATTTGAAATTCTGCTAGAACTGGAACCCATCCTACCTAATCTTCTAATTAATTGAGTAGGAGCTCCTTTTTAGTAAAAGAGTGTCTCGTTCTGACTTTTCATGATGACTATGAACTGCAGAGGTAGTAGTTGTTCCCGTCTGATGAAATGGGAAGAGAAGAAAGATCTGACAAACTATGTTCTACGGCCATGATGTCTTAGACCTGTTGAAATTAGACTGGTTTCTTCACTGTCCTTTACAGCTTGCTGTAAAGGTGCATATTCTTGTCAGCTGCTTGCAAAAGGTGGGAGTGGGCTGTTCAGCTATTCTGATTTAAGCTGCTCTTTGCACAAGTTATGGCAGGGGATCCTTGGAATTGAAGCTGCAGCTGTTTGCTTACTTGTTTTGTATGTCTCTGAACACTGGTAGCTCCAATGTAAAGCCACCTGACAGCTCTACAGTTAGTCATCATGTAGTTTACACGTCACTTATATTAATTCTGTAATTTTACAATGGCTTAGTTAAGTGTATTTATGTATTTCCTCTGTAACTATGCCATGAAGCACTATAAAATTAGTTTTGAAAGCAAGGTTCAAATTACAATGGACTTCCTGTGCTGGAGTTGTCCTGACAGTTTGTGAAAAATCAGTGCTATGGGTGATGAGCCACTTCAGCCCTTTTTGGTAGCTCATCAGTCCAGCTGTAAGGCTGTCTGACTGGATTTTCAGTTGATCTTTCTCTGTGCAGAAGTTGAAAGTGCAGTCACTGTTAAGGGAGACAGCTGCATATCTTAATTCTTTTCTTAACCCACAGCTGGAAAACTTGTGCACTGTCATGCTCTGTCCCTCTTGACTTGCATCAGTTTTCATAACATATTGTAACCAAAACCCCACGGAAGGCTGGCAAAGTACCAAAACCCCATAATGAAAAAGAGCCTAAAGGCACTGGTTGGTGAGGAGCATGGCCAAGGTCTCTTTCCACAGGGTACAGAAATTATTGTATGATATTCTGCTTGTCCCATTCCCAGGGTGGACACAAACTGAAATAACTGTTTATGTGGACTTCTCGTGTGGACCAGAACTGGGTAAAATAACCAAATAGTTTCTCATAGGAAATGCCACAAACAGTTAAACCAGAACTGATCCTGGAAGCCTCAGCCTAATAGCAGGAGAAATGGAGCTGCTGGTCAAAGAAAGAATGAAACAGAAAGAAAAGACAGGATGAGACCAAGTATTTATTTACTTCTTTATTTTTTTCCAGAGCTAATCCTTGTTAGCCAAAACCAAAGTGGGTTCTACAAGCTGTTCCTGATCATAACCTGTATGAGCACTGCAGCATCAGTGATACGTTTATTGTCTTGTAATTGGACTTGCTGACTTTTTTTTTTTTTTTAATGTCTGGTAAAATACTAAGAAACTGTGCCTATTCACCCTTTATTTTTCCTTAAACCACTTAAAGGGCCTGAAAGAACTGGTGAAGCAAGTGAAGAGCCTGCCAGTTGTCAATTATAATTTGCTGAAATACATCTGTAGGTAAGTGCTCTTGCAAGATTATCACAATGGTATTTATAAACTATGAGCTGACAGACAAACCTGTCTCTGTATGTGCTCTGAAGGAAAAGCATTACTCACAGTTGGAGGACTGGCGAACTGAAGTGAATGCACTAAAATGGTAGGTTTACTGCATGACTAATCAGTAATTTGTTCTAGCAAGGTGTACACTTAGGACTTTTCTTTCATAAGCAGGCTACACTCCACAAGGAGTGCAAAGAGGTAAAAGTGAATGTATCCTGTCCTTTTTATAGGACCCTAACTGTAGTTACAAGCCTTGGCTGTGCTCTCCTGAAGTGCACGGCCTTGAAAACTGTGTATGTCTTGTAGTATAGAGAGTAGTTTTGTGAATACATCTAAGATCTTAAAAAATGTGTCACACACAGTTGCAATTTGTGAACTAACAGAAAGTTTCCAGCATAAAAAAATTAAAATTTAAAAGAATCTAAGAATTTTATCAATTCAGAGTTTGCATTTTTATTTTATGAGCTAAATTGTTGATTAGTTATGCTGGACAAAGTTGCTGTCTTCTACAGAGTTTCCTTATAGTCAGTCCAGAATGAGTTTGAAATTTTACTATCAATGTATCATTTTGAAGAAATTCTGAAGAAGTTGAAGACAATAGCCTTAAGATTTCAAAATGTTCCATGTGGACTCAGAATGGAATACTTGAACTATGTTAAAAGAACAATCACGTGCTTTGACTTCTTTTTTTTCATTTTGTTTTTACATGCTTCCTAAAAACCTCTTTCTTCCCCACAGATTCCTTGATGAAGTCCAGTCTTATTCAGGTGTAAACAAAATGAGTGTGCAAAATCTGGCTACCGTTTTTGGCCCCAACATCCTTCGCCCCAAAGTAGAAGATCCTCTGACTATCATGGAGGGTAAGCTTTATAGTACATAACTTGCAATAAAAAGAAGAAGTACCTTTGGGTTTATTAATAGCACATACCAGTCCATGTAGTATACGCAGTAAGTTCCATACATCTGTCATATAGACACAGAAACTTTCACCCTGAATGAACTTCTGGGTTAAATCTTGCAGGTTATAAAAGGTACTGAAACGTGCAGCATTGCAAACAGACATTGCATGAGATTGTTCTGCCCTGGCAACTTTATTATACAGGTACTTTTTCTCTGAACACTTCCTGCAAACATGGCATGTTCTTAGTAAGCACGTGTGGTTGGGGTGCAGTTAATATTTTACCTGTGGTAAAATATTAAAAAAACTGAGAGGAAAAAGTTACTACAAGTTTACACTGCAGTGACCCGCATAGAACCCCCCACAAGGCAGTTGTATATTACATGCCTTCTTGCACAACAGGGATCAAATTGTTGTCTGCATTCTGGTACTTACAGCAGTGTTCAGCTATAGCATTTTTCTGTGATTAAGGTAAAAACATGGACATGAAAGTCTCCTCCTATAACCTCCTTCAAGGCTTCATCTTAGTGGCTTTCATTCTCCATGAAGTACGATGCCCTTTCTCTCTCCAAACACTTTTTTTTTTTTTAATGTAGGATTTACTTAACTTTCTCAGAAATTAGGGAGGTACACAGACTTTGCACTGAAAATTTAACCTAACCTCAAAAGAATGCAGTTTTCATAGTTTATTTCAGAATGTATAGATAGAATTACTCCTTTTCTGTATGAGGCTTTTTTCTTCCTGACATACTCCAGTTCCTTGTCCACTTGTTTCTCTAAAGTCTTATGTTTCCTTCTTCTTCCTTTTAATTTTTATCCCAGTGACTATGTTGTGAACAGAAACACAGCATTTCCAAATCATGTATGAAATCTGTGCATACCCAGAATTACCTGTCTGAACAGTAGCTCAGACGAATCAGAACACCTAAAGTGTTTTTAATCGTCATCTTCACTTTAATGTCTGGCTTCTCATTATCACAGGGAAAGGTTTGATCATCCATTTGCTTCAAAAGCATTTGCAAGAGCAGGTGTCTGATTTATGTGCATGACTGTGCATGAGTATCATCACACCTGTGCAGTTTCAAGTACCCTTAAATCTGCATTTGTGGGTTTCCCCCTGGTTTCTGTACATATTTGCCTCAAATGCCCTGTGACTATCTGATACAGGGGTGCAGAGATGAGCTTCAGTGTGTCATTGAAGTCCTAGTTTACACATCTTATCCTCTCCCCACGATGTTTTGAGAGGCAAACACAATTCTTTTCCTGATTTGTTTCCTTCCTCTTCAGCTGTGTTGTCATGCCTCTCTCAGGAGTTACCTTTTTGTATGTGTGTGTGTGCACATGCTGCCCATCACTTCAACCTGTGTCTTTGTTTCTACCTGTAGAACTGCCAGACCAACTGAAGTAGAAGCTTCTCTTACCCTGACATTTCTGTAGAGCTTAGCAGCCTGGTAGATAACTGCTGTGAATGTTTTTCTTGGTCAGGTAGCAAACTGTCCCTTCTTTCCATGCTTTTGCATTAAAATAGTGCAAAAAGTGGCTCAGGTTGTTAATAGATTGGAATTGGAGAGAGATGTCACAGAGCTGATTTATACCACTGAAGTAAGTAAGAATGGTGTCTCAGAGGTTGACATTTGCTGATGGGACACCATGCATCTTCAGCTCACCTGGGCCGGAACTGGCTGTTACCTAAAGTTGGTGAGTTGGTTTGGGTTTTTTGAAAGTTTGTGCAAGAAGGTTTTCCTTTTTGTGGGTTTTTGATGATGTTGTTTAGTTGGTTTGTTTGATTTTAAACTAGGTAGAAAGGGAAAATAATGTGTTTTTCCTGTTTTTGAAAGCAACTCTCCAGCCTGGTTATCAACAGCCCTAGCATTAAAATGATGGTGACTGCTGTAGGAAATGGGATGGATACAACACTCTCTGTAGGAAAATACATATATTTTTTCGCTAATGAGAAACAGGTTTGAATAAAGAGATTTGTTACCTCTCTTTAAGTGTAAGACAATGCTGATTGTCTTATTGCTGATTGCAATAAGACAATTGCAGTTGTTGTACATGTAGTTAAATGTATAGGGACTTTTAGCAAAGACTGTATGTTGTTTGGTGCTCATTGCTACCTTTCTTCATTGCTCTTCTTGGAATATACAGAGTTCTTTTCTTCCAAGTCATTCAAAGGCAGACATGCAGCTATGGGTAACCATACCTGTATAATGGGGATGAGGAGCTGGTTTTGTTTGATTCAGGAGAGATTTTTTTTTTTCAGAATGCCAATGATGGTGCAATTTTTTCCTGTGAAATGCAGTGGTAAAAGTTGCCTGAGTACAGTGCAATGTTTGTAGTAAAGTTCTGCACATAACAGCTAATGTTCTCAGAAAGAATACAGTGCCATGGGAGTAACTAAGTGAATTTTCCTGCTGTCTAGTTCTTTTGAATGATTTTGCCATAGCAAACAAGCAAATGAGAACACTTAAAAAAGATGTTGAGTACCTACGTTGAATTGGCTCTTGATACTTGTGTTTTTAAAAGGTGGGGTATAAACATCCAGAATATTACAAAGGACTTGATGTGAAACGTTATTGCACAGTGGGAAGTTACTGATTAGAAGAGCACAGCAAGCCTCTGAAACCTTTTTGGAGTTTAAAAATGAGGTGGTTATTATAATTACCTTGACCTTGTTCCTGAAATATTCTTAATAATCCTTAATGAGGGTCTGCTTAACAAAATAGAGTTGCACATCTTTGTCATGCCAAGTCCAGTTCTAAATGCTGGTGTGTAAATTACAGTGCAGTCAAGTGGTGTGCACACCAAGGGATTGTTCTTTAAGAAGAAAGGTAGCCATTTATTACCATACGTAGCAAGCTGCAGTCCTGCATTACTTCCATACTGTGCTATAATGTGGCATAGTTTCCTGGCTGCATATTAGTCTCACTGTGGAGTGGTTCAAGGTATTCACATTAAGTTATTCTGTCTCATTTTGCTTCAGAAGACTAAAATGTCTGTGTTCCAGAAAGCAAATCCCTTGGCTGCCCATTTTCTGCTAAACTTATCAATACAGGTGCTGTGCCTGAGTAAGATTTAGGCTTTAAAATGGTCATCACGTTGAGTAGAAACACATCACTTAGAATGATGTTATCCTTATCATCTCCTTCTGTGATCTTCCTGGGATGCAGTTAATGTCACGGTAATAGCTTCTTTGCAAATGTTTCTGTTGTTTAGGGGGTCTGTGAAGCCTGCTGGCTTGGTTTGGTGGAAGGAGGAGGTGATGCTGATGTGGCCCTGTAGCCAAGAGGCACTTTAGTCTTGTTAAACATTCAGGGTGTTACACAAATGGATGCATTGTGTAAATGTTTGTATAAGCTGAATGTTTACTAAGTATTTGTAGAATCTGATGGATAAAGTATATTTAGACCTTAAATAAAACAGGACATTAATGACCACATGCTTGGTGTCTCCTTTCAGGTACAGTAGTAGTCCAGCAGCTCATGTCAGTGATGATTAGCAAACATGAAGAGCTCTTTCCCAAGGATGCAGACCCTCAGGTGGGACCTGAGGTATGCAACAACAACAATGAAATTCCAAAGAAAACTAATGCAGGGCAGCTACAGAACAAAGAGAACAACAATACCAAGGAGACGGCAGTGAGGCGCTGCTCTTGGGACAAGCCCGAGTCTCCCCAGAGGGGAAGCTTGGACAGTGAGTCTCCAACTGCCCTGCCAGGCAGCAAGACAAGTAGCCCCAGGAACAGCATCCAGAAACTAGATGTCACCAGAAGCCCACCACTCATGGTGAAAAAGAATCCTGCTTTTAATAAAGGTAGCGGTATAGTCACCAACGGGTCCTTCAGCAGCTCCGTGGAGGGCCCTGAGAAGAGCCAGACCTTACCAAACTGTTCCCTGCAAACCAGGAGAACGTCATGCCTGAAAGGACCGGTGACTAAGATGGGAACACACAGCGTGCAGAACGGAGGTGTGCGGATGGGTGTTTCCAGCACAGATGGGCACAGCAACACCCTCAGCAGCCGGGCCCCAGGCTGGGTACCCAATGGCTACGTCACTCTGAGGGACAACAAGCAGAAGGAATCTGTGAGTGAGTCAGGACAGCACAACAGGCTTTCCACCTATGACAATGTCCACCAGCAGTTCTCTATGGTGAACTCTGATGACAAGCAGAGTGTGGATAGTGCCACCTGGTCAACGTCCTCTTGTGAGATATCCCTCCCTGAGAACTCCAACTCCTGTCGTTCATCCACCACCACCTGCCCTGAGCAGGACTTTTATGCGGGTAACTTTGAAGACTCTGTGCTGGATGGACCACCACACGAAGACCTCTCTAACCCAGGTGACTATGAGAACAAAAGTAACAGAAGGAGTGTGGGGGGCCATAGCAGCCGAGCCACCAGCAGCAGCGATAACAGTGAAACGTTTGTGGCCAACAGTTCTAACAATCACAGTGCTTTGCACAGCCTGGTGTCCAGCTTGAAGCAAGAGATGGCCAAGCAAAAACTAGAATATGAGACAAGGATAAAAAGGTAAGATGTTTTGGCTCTACCTTCTGCAGAGATAAATCCAAGTTTCCTCTCTCATGACTTGCACTAGCTGCAGTCACTGCTGTGTCGCTAGGTGCTTACCAGTAAGCTTCTCATCTTTCAGTGTTGACATGCTCTGGCATTGCTTCTGTGACACAGTAATCCCAAGGGGTTTGTTTCAGAGCAATTGTATGCCCCAGTTGTGACATGCCCTCCTGTTGGAGTCAGAAATACAGCCAGAACCTTGTGAGTTTCTGTAAAATATAATTAACTAAATCAGTAGGCTCTCTAAACTTTTTCATTAGTTGATACTTGTTCTCTAGAGACTGAGAAAGGCAACTGATATCACCTTTCAGTGAAAACAATGTTGTGGCTTACACCATCCAGAATTTTAGGGAACTGGGGAGACTGCTGGACTCCTTTCCAGTTCTCATTCCTGAGAGAGTGAGAGAGTGTGCAGCATCTGGGAGTTACCTCTGCTTACAGTCCTGTGTCCTTTGGTGCTTTGCCTGAGCCTTCCCTTCACAGCCTGGACCTATTAAAGGAGGCACCTTCTTCAGCAGGTCAGCCTGTGTCTTTGTCTACAGGTAGTGCAGACTGCTCATACACAAGGTTGCTGGGGTGGATGGCCGTAATGGTCAGTGAACAACCTCAGAGTCTGCTTAGCATTAATTAGTGCACACATTAACTAGTCACAGCAGCACAGAGCTGAATGTGCTGTGTTTGTAATAAGGATTCTTCAGGAAAGCTGTTTGGGACTTTCTGTTCTCACCTCTACACAGCAGCTCTTTGCCTTGGTACCTCTGGCACTGCAAGTCATAGTTGGATCACAACATGTGACAGCTACTGGCAACAGCAGCTGCCAGTCAAAGTGCTGCACACAGAAGGTTGCAATCTTCTGCCCACATCACTATTTTCAGCATAGTATGCAGTGTAGGAGAGCATTTCGTAAAATGTTTAATATGCATGATGACTGTGTATTTAATACCATTAAGATTATAGAATCATGGAATGGTTTGGGTTGGAAGGGACCTTAAAGCTCTTCTAGTTCCAACCCCCCTGCCATAGGCAGGGATACCTTCCTAGAGAGGGCACCTTACTAGACCACATTGCTCAGAGCTCCATTCAACCTGGCCTTGAACACTGCCAGGGATGAGGCATCCACAGTTTCCCTGGGCAACCTGTTCCAGCACCTCACCACTCTCATAATAAAGAATTTCTTCCTAATATTTAACATAAATTTTCCCTCTTTCAGTTTGTAGCCATTTGAAGCCATTCCCCCTTTTCCTGCCACTACAGTTCCTGATGTGGAGTCCCTCTCTGGCTTCCCTGTAGGCTTCTTCAGATACTGGCAGGGTGCTATGGGATCTCCACACAACCTTCTCTTCTCCAGGCTGAACAACCCCTGCTTTCTCAGCCTGGTCTCTAGTCCTCTTAGCAATTTTGTGGCCTCCTCTGGACTTGCTTCAACAGTTCAGCGTCCTTCTTATGTTGGGGGAACCAGAACTGTACACAGTATTCCAGGTGAGGTCTCACCAGAGCAGGGTGGGAGGGCATCGCCTCCCTCAACATCCTGGCCGCAATCCTTTTGGTGCAGCCCAGGACACGTTTGGTTTTCTGGGCTGTGAGCACCTACTGCCAGGTCATCTTTACTTTCTCATGAACCATCACTCACGAGTCTTTCTCTGCGTGGCTGCTCTCAATCACTTCTCTGCCCAAGCCATAGGTGTGTCTGGGATTGCCACAGCCCAGCTGTAGGACCCTGCACTTCACTTTGTTGAACTTCACGAGGTCCATATTTACGAATATATGCAGATCCATATTTGCAAATAGATACAGGAGGTAAATCAGCTGCGAAAGGGAGACTGGCAGTGATACAAAGGCGTTCAGGGAGTTACTCTGGCCTAGCAGGTGACACTAGTGATCTACAGCAGGAGCTGGGTGTCAACACTTCAGAAGTAAAAGGAGTAGTTAACCTATTCCTGGAGAATTAGATGGAGCTGTTTGCCTCTGTGCCTCTTACCTCTCTGGCTGTTCCAAGACATTTTCTAAATGAGCTACCAAAGCAATTGCCCTGTGAGAACAGTTCATTGATGGAAGCCATGGTTTGTAGTCTAAGCTTTGTAAATGAAAAGACGTGTATGAATTTGTTGGTGGTGTGCATATCTGCTTGTTTGAGTGAGGAGTGCTGCTCAGGAGCTGTCTGTTTTTATTTCATTTATGCAGCTTGGAGGAGAGAAATCTCACCCTGGAGACGGAAATGATGGCCCTGCATGAAGAACTGGATCAGGAGCGGAAGAAGTTCACAATGGTAGAAATCAAAATGCGTAATGCAGAGCGGGCAAAGGAGGATGCAGAGAAGAGGAATGATATGCTGCAGAAGGAAATGGAGCAGTTTTTCTCTACTTTTGGAGAACTGACAGTGGAGTCTCGCAGACCGGAAAGAGGCAACACCATCTGGATCCAGTGAGCTTTGAAAGAGTAGATTGTGGGACTTCAGTAAGGGCTTGGGGCTATTGTACTGTATCAGGTGGCTGGTCACCTGTCTGAGGCTAGTACTCAACAAAATGTTATAAACTCTTGAAGGAAGAAATCGTACAGACATTAACCACTCATATCTACAGCGTGTACTTATCAAGTTATACTCTTTGAATGCTTCATGAGACTACTGTCAAGTGTTACAACTGGATATGTGTATATAAATTTAAAAAAAACACACCTTAGAGAGCAAGAGATGTATCTGAAGAAATATTTTAATGCTAGTCTTGTATTTAAACTGGTAAATTGAAATGTTGTTGCAATCAAGCTTTATATAAAGGCTTTTCTCCCTTGCACTTAACATAATAAGCTATTTTTGGCATTGTGTTACCATCAGCTTATTTTGTATATCAAATGTTTTTTCTGTTTTTGTTTTGTTACCCCTTTTGCTGGGGAGTGAAGATAAACAGATATGTTAAGGTTTATGTGTCAGTGGTTAACCCTGATTTGCGTCGTTTCTAAAAAGACAGCAGGGTGAGAAAACAGAAGTATTCAATGGGGCAAAATAAAGCAGTACTAAGTTAATAGAATTGGTGGCCAGGGTAGAACCAAATGAGGATATCAAGTCAGCAAAATTGGGGGCTGCAGCAAAGGGGTAACAGCTGCTTGTTTGGGAGCAAATGTGGGTGACATAGTAAGAAACTGGGAGAGGGGAAAGGGAAACTTAAGGAGAAGTTAATCACATGACCAGAGCATTTTGGTGCACCCTAAAGAAGCCCTGTGGCTGATCGCTGCAGCTCAGAGAAGAAATATAAACCAATTGTTCTGACCATATTTGCATCTGACTTACCTTTGTACTGTGAGTGGAAGTGAGTCCTTTCTGTAATGCTGGTGAAAGGACACACAGAGGGGATGAACCAGCGATCCTGGTAGCTTTGTCAGTGTGGTGGGTACTGAAAAAAATATCAAACCCACTATGTCCAGAGCAGAAATTACTGGAGCAATTGGTGATAAAAAGTAACTAAGGAAGAAAGCACACCAGCATATTCACCACTTGTATTGACAGTGTATATTAGCAAGTTATCACACTGTTTGAATGCTTCAAGACATTACTGTCAAGTGTTAGAATCGTGGAAGTCCCCAGGCTCTCGGTATCACCAGGGGAACACCTAGAGGGAACAGCCTGGAGCCTAACGGCATGTGGAATGCCAGTGAAAAAGAAACAGCAAAGCTGTGCTGTAAATTAATCATTTGTTTGGCATCTTCACATACAGTAAGTATAACTGGTATTTTCTACACCATGTTAAGGATGTTTTGTTTTAACTTTCTGTTTAGGACTGCAAGCAGTATATTAGAGAGCATTGTTGAGGCACCTTGACTTCCCTCTAGTGTCTCTTAAATATATTGCAATTATTTTTTAATTCCAGTTGAGAACGAATGATGAAGGTAACCTCAAAGAACATTCTTGGCTGTAGCATGTATATTCGACAGTTGTTAATTGGATGTGGGAATTATACTGGGAAGCAACCAGGAGTTTACATTTCAGAGAAATATTGAGCATTACACATGGTGCTTGTAGATGCATTGTTTGTGTCTGGTGAGATTCAGAGTCCCCAGCCAGGGCGCCTGTTGTCCTAATTACTGCGAAAATGTCTGGTGCACATCCAGTCTCTCTGTGAATCAGAAAAAGTCAGACAGGGAGAGATGAAGGTATTAGGGAGGCGCATGTTTATATCAGTTACAGCAATCACAAGATGTACTCACAACGGTGAGAGAAGGAGACAGATTACTGTGTTAATTCTGATTTTTTAATTGGATGAGCGACCTTGATACCTGATGCAAAAGGCTTCAAAGCCAACTCACAATTCAAGCAGTATCTCACATCTGTTGACATGATATCAGAGTCTCTGAGATAAGTCTTTTCTTAACTGGATTATATATTTTTTATATATATACAGTAGTCAGTGCTTTTTTAGAAGCTCATGTTAGGCAGGATTTGTTTGTTTGAAGCTTGGCTTCATCTAGATTTGTAGCTTCTCTTCATGTTTCAAAAGTTATTTCAGTCAGTTCCTCAAAGAATGTTTAGATTCCAGTTTATGGCTAAGTACTGATACCCAAATTTTTTGCTTTGCAATCCAGAGCAGGCACAGCGAATTCAAAAAATGTTACCAACAATAAAAGTCCGTTCCCATCCCTGCTCCTCCTGTGAGACTTCATCAGCATTTAGGCTGTGATGATGTTTATTTATGTCCTTAATGGCCATCTCTGTGTTCCTCTTAATGTCCTAGTTCTTTAAAACCACAAAGGCCTTGATGTTTCTCACATTCAGAATATAACATGCGTAACTTCTCAGTTGCATGATACCACGGTCCACAACTCATGCTGCTTTGTTCCCTTTAGCATGTCCAGCCTGTGTGTGAATTGGCCTGTTGGGGAGGGCATTCTGGTGGATCTAAGTGACCAGAAGATAAACTCGTGCTACCTCTCAATCTGTGGAGTAGAAAGGGGCAAGATTTATTCAGAAGATTCAGGTCAACGCAGGCTGAGCCTGAAGGCTCTGAAAAAAGCTATAAGGATTCCATGCAATGCATTTCTTGATCACTCATAAGGCAGTTTTTCAGAGCTGTCAAGGTGTTGAATGAAACGGAGACAACTGGTTTCATTACCGTTTTGTTTAATGATACAGGTCATCTTTCATTAAAGGCCAAGTTGACAGTGTTACCTGCTACAAGAGAACACTAAGTTTCAAGTAATCCATTAAAAAAAGTGTAATAATAAATTTGCTTTCACCTCTTTCTCACAAGTCTGTGAGCTCCCCAGGTTAATAATCTGTTGTATGAATTCACTAGCCAGCTCCAAGCTCAGAATGCCAGAGTCAGCCCTTCTAGCACACTGTCTCTCTGCCTTGTGTACAGTGCACAAGAGACAATGCTTTTACAATTAATACAGATGGTGGAAGAAAATCTCTTGAGCTAATGACCACGTAGCCCAGTCACAGGGTATGATTACATTACATTCAGAAGCATAATTTCAGGACAGCACACACAAGCAGGCTGGAGTTGAGGGACATAGAGAAGAGGTATGCACTCTTACTAATGTTTATCCCATCTCCAGCCACATTTTTGGAGTATTGGGATGGGTGCTGATACCCTATGTGCCTTTCCACAGTAGACTGGAAAAGTGGCAGGCACACTCCATGCCTTTTAAGTGTTAGAATCTGATGTTTGGCTTTGGAAAGCTTTTGTCTTCCCTTCTGTTTGTGAGAATCCTGCTCCACGTTTGAGCATGCTCTGCTGCAGCAGAATAAATAAACTTTGCTACACATCTTTGCTACATGTTGTTATTTCTCAAAACTCATCTCAAACTCAACCACTCAGCATCAGTTTTCCAAGTATGAAAATAAATAAATAGAATGCTATGTTAAATGATAGGCAAAACTGGTATATTAGTATAAGAATAAAGAGGAGAGGAAGTTGCTAATATTACTCACTCTTGAGATCTGTAAGCAGTATTTGATCTAGTAGTTAAAATGACAGTTCAGAATTTTATTAGAAAGGTACAATTTGCTAAAGAGTATGAATATTAAACAAATATTTCTTCTATAGCATCCCCGGTGGGATGAACAGAGGCAGGGCAAGGAGATGCTGAATAAACAGATACAGTGATTTGCACATTTTGACAGCCCAGTCAAAACAGTGAGTTGCCTCCAGCTGCTGTAGGCTTTAACGCTTCCTGGCTGAGTGAAACTCCTAATTAATTTCCTTTCTTATTCTGAGTTCCCCCTGGATTCTGTGCATTGAAGAGGAGAGCATCTGCGGACTGTGCCCCTGGCAAATCTGCAGGGAAGTAGAGGGGAGGGAAAGGGGAGATGGGCAGATAGAAATTAACGATACTTGTGATGTGGGCATGCAAAAATAGAGGAAACAGATGAGAGAGATGAGGAAAACAAGGAAGTTAATATACCTGAAATTGCCATGTGTAGGTGGTAGTAATTTGCCTTCAGTTAAGAGCATTCTTTCTGAAAGCTTGTCTTTCCAAATGGGTCACTGTAGTTAATGTTGTGTTATTCTTTCAGAGCTCTTTGGCTCTAAATTACTTTCTGGACTGACACCAGTAGCTGGGTCAGCTGTTCTACAGCTACCTTCCCTGCTTTTATCAATCCTGTGTGCTAACAGCGAGAGTTGGTGTGAAGAAATTCCTAGCAGAGTCATTGCTATGAGAACTGACTGATAGGCAGGGAACCCTAGGAGGTCAGGTGGTTCCCTCTGAGTTACCAGCACTGGCTCTGGGAACAGCTAATGGCCCTGGACTGTCATTCAGCATCTCTGGAGTAGTGCTTCTCAGGAAGTAAAATTATATATAGCAGATGCTCGCTGATATAAATTGCCCTAGCTCTACAGATGTTTAGGAAGAGGTGAGAGAAGCTGAGAAGCTTTCCCTCCAAGGCTTTTAGAAGCTGTCGTAATGTGTGTAATTACAATTAGCATTGGTGATCTAGTTTTATTGGAAAAATGTTTGTCAGCAATAAAACAGGTTTCTTTAGTATGCCAATAATAAGGGAGAGTGAGAAAAATTTTTGAGGCCAGAAACATGATCATGATGCAAATATATTCCTCCCTTTTTCCCAAGGGGATCTGGGATAATGAGCTTTTTATGCAATACAATTCCATTTCTAATTCTTTTAAAAGCAAGAATGGGAAATCCGTGTACCTCTGTGTGTATTACTCTCTTCATGCAAAAGAGGTTTAAAATGATTAATGTTCCGCAGGACCTTATGGTTATGTTTAAAATACTGTTACAAGCATGGCTCATGGGGTTTTTAACTGCAATAGTATTTAGGAGGTGAGTTGGCTTGAGAATAAAAGAGGGCGTTTTGAGCACCAGTATTTTCTCTGTTATTCATGTGACAAAGGTGCAGTCTTGATTTTTCAATCTTAACAGTTGCTGAAATGAAGGCTACTGTTCAGTTGAAATAGCGATTGTTGCATGTAGCACTACTTGTAAATCCTAAACTATAACAAAAAATGTTCTCCAAGTCTTCAGCATTGCTAAGGTATGCCAGTAACTGGTATTTTTAACTGCACATTCTTTATATCAGGCTGAATTAGAGAGCCTGGATTTTGGCAGAGCAGGATGAGAAATGCAGTGCTAGCTCTTCCCACTAACCTAGACTGAGCACTCTGGTGAATTTTCCTCTTGCAGATGTGTACCTTGTGTAACAGTGAGATCTTAGGGTAAAGTGTTGTGTGTCAAAAGGTAAATTCGTACCTACCTAATTCCATAGTAGTTCCCATATATAGACATGTCCTAATATTAATAGTGTGTGTGGATAATGGATCTGTTTGTAAAGCTTAGTACTATTAATAGTGAATGTATCACAGTTGACTTAATTGCTATTCTTCTGTCTGGCTGAAGGGACCTACATCAAAGGAGACTGAAACAGAAAGTAAGCAGAATATGAACCATGACAGAAATGAAGCATCTCTGGAGGCAATTCCAAAGGCCATTAAGAGAACAGTTCATTAACTATTAATGTATTTCCATGCTGCCAGCTAGGCCTGTTTTTCCCAAGGCCCAAAAGCACACAAAG